AGGTTACTATGAGCCAAGATCACGCCACTGCACTCCAGCCTAGGTGGCAGAGTAAGACCCTGTCTCAAAATAAACAAAAAGAAAGAAAAAAGAAAAGAAAAGTTGAATGCCTACTATTCTTAGTGGGTTTTTGCATTTTAGAAGAAGACTTATATTGACTCAAATGGAAAAATTGGCATGGAAAAAAATTTTGAACGGAAGAACCATTCTGCCCTTCTTAGCTTACCCTTAGGTGTCACTCCTCATTCTCTCTGCTTATCCTTATTTCTGAATTAGAAGAGCAGAGGTCTACCTGCTTATCAGCATCCCACCCCTGATCTTTGATTTCTCTCCACTAGAAGGCATGTCAGTTCTCACAGGAATTCAAGAGGTTTCAATCTCACCCCTGCTACACATTCACATGACAGATGAGGTTCACATGTGGAACACATTTTCCAAGTGCAGCATATATAATGGCCTGAAACACAAACAAAATCAACCTGTGATTTTGTGGGGTTACTAGGATGCTACATATACTAGGATGCTCCATTACTCTCCCACATAAGAAAGCATGCTGGAATGAAAGTAAGCCTGGGGTTACAATAGGGATAGTCTTGAATCCAGTCTAATTTGTAAAAGAAAAATTGTAAGCAAATGTTGTTACTTCACTACTAGTATCACATCACATAAGGCATGCTTCTAAATGATCCTGTTGCTCTAGTATGACACATTACCAAACTGGAATGTCACTGGCAAAGGTTCACACATATAATCTGACAGTTCTCAGTAGTACATGTATGTCAGTAATGCATCTATAGTTTTCAAAAGTGTCCAGTTCACTCTTAAGGCCTATATTACAAATAGTTTGATTTGACTCATTAACGTACTATACATATACCACAAACTCCTACTAAATAAAACCAATAACCTTACGGAATTGTCTTTCTATTTTCTAATTTCTAATGTTCTAATTTCCTGTGTGTTGAGGTTTCAACATCAGCAAGTGTTTGCTTCATTTTAATAAAGAAAAATACATTTCATTTTATTTGGCATATAAGCTAAGATTTTTTGGAACACTATAGTTTAAATGATTATTTCTTAAATAACTAATAAATTTTTTATGGGCACTACATCCCTTGAACAAAACTGCAAAGGTAATTTCAAAAAAGATCTTGAGTCCTTCATTAGTGAGCTTGCCATGAAGGAAACCTTCTAAAATCTCAGTGGCTTGTAACAGCAAACATGTTTCCTACTCACATGTCTGTATCTGTGGAATGGATGGTGATACTAGAGCTTTGTTCAATTCTGCACCATATTTCCTTTCATCCCAGGACCTCAGGGAAAGATGCTTACTTTTGTGGCAGAGGCTAACAAGAAGCAATCACTTTTGAAGCTTCTGTGCAAATATAATGTTTGTCTCATTGGCTCACATTCCATTGGCCAAAAAAAAAAAAAGTCACATGGAGTAGTCCAACGTCCATGAAGCAAGAAAATACATTCTCCCCATAGCAGGAGAGGGAAATACACATTTGCAAAGAATATACAACTAATCAAAGAACACCTTTTCTAGATATTGACTTGCCATCCTTTCTCACTCAAAGTTACTCGCTCCCATTAAATATACCTTGAAAATCTCATCCACTTATGGCATCAGGTGCAAAGTTTTATCTTGTAGTAGTCTCTAAGTCAGGTATAAAATAACTCATACACACTCATATAAAATGGTGAAACAGGGACAGAACAACTAAAATGAAACCTCCATTCATAAAGAGGAATGAAGAGAGACACTTAGCCATCAGTAATACACAGTAATTTTGAAATTCTGCTGAACAAGCATCATGAGGCCTCCTAACCTAGAGTAGGAAATGTTTCTTGAGTAGCCTCTATTCAGCTCTTGAGGAGGCAGAAGTGGAGATACCCTCAGTCCATCATTCTCTCTGTCTTGAATCCACCCTCTAGAACATCTTCTCTTTTACCTTATTCTTGTTGGATGCACCTGAGGAGAGCATCGGAGACAATAACATCCTAGGGGAAGGAGCAGCTTTCTCAGCCTGCCTCTTGCCCAAGAAAATTGGGGCACAAATCATCTCAAACAGTTAAAGTCTCTTTGAATTGAAGATGATAGTGCTTTTGGCAGTACAACTCTTTCAAAGATTTAGCTATTTATCTATGTGGTTACATTTCTGTGTGCCAGTAGCTGCTACCACAATTATTTAGTAGACGTATGTTTTTCCTTAGACTTAATTAAAGGTACTGTGCGCTTATCTAGCTGTGGCAGAATTGTGCCTTAGGATTTGTGACCACACCCCTAATTTTAGCTGTACCTATGTCTTAATCAGTGTTTTTGGCTCAAAACCTTTCTTAATTTTATTTTTTGTCAATTGATGACTGAAAACGGTTTCACTTTTCAACTCTGAAATCCCAAGATTTAGGACTCTGTGTTTTCTATTTCGCTCCTTCCTACAAACAGGTCAGTTATTTTCTGTGTTTATTTCCTTTTAAAAATATCTTATCAAATGTAACTAATAACCAACTCACACTAGTAATATTCTTTTTAAATGCCTCGCCAGCCAAAGCTACAATTTCATGAGGTACACTCTCTGCCTCCAAAGCTATTACCATTGCAGAAAAACTATATTACATCGATCACCACTGTTTTTCAATTTCCTTTCCAGTTTTCTTACCACCTACTGCTTTATCCTGAAGCAATTGTGACACCATTTTTATTTTCATAAAATAGTTCCCCACTCCTCACATCAATTTCTATACGAGTCAGTTTTGCTGGTTTGCTGCACAAAAAGCAACCCTAAAACTCTAGTGGCTTACAACAGTAAACAGGTTTCTTGCCCAAGTAACATGCCAGCGAGTGTCACTTGGCTCTGAAAACCGTGGCTCTGTTCCATGGAGCTTCACATTCAGGGACCCAGGCTGACAGGCAGCCACTCATGCATTCTCATAACACATGCATTCTCATGGCAAAAGGGAAAGGCAAGAGGCTAATGCCTTTATTCTTAAATCATATTTATGGTCTTTGTTTGCAATTGGCATCATTATTCTTCTCACATTCCATTGACCAAGCTCAGCATGATGGCGTGGGTAATTTTCCTCCCATTGGGAAGAAGGTGGAGTAAATATTTGAAAATAATAATACAACCTAACCACATGCTCAGAAAAACCTGAGTAATAAAATTTTAGAGTTAGAGATATGCTACCCAACAGCAGAAAACTGGTGCAATTAGAAGGATTTTCACGAGATTAATTTTTTTTCATCATTCTGCAAAGAAACAGTAAGAAACCAATGTAGTAGTTGATTTTTATGCTGTGAAACATCACAAAGATGTAGTTCCAAAGTGATTAATATCTAGAATTGCTTCTATAAAAGTAAAAACATAAAAAGAGAAGCATAAATGTTCTTAAATTTTTACTTTGCTTTATAAAAATTAAAAATGTATGATAGTAAAAGTACATTTCATGTATGGTTGCAAAAGCAATCTGAATTTGCTAAGTCCCTCTAGTTTACATTTGATGCAGTCAAGGACTTTTTGTCACAATCAGAAGAAGCATTAGAAAGAAAAAATCTGTCCAGAATTGTGGGGTGTTTCTGATTATTCCTAAATAATTCACAAATGTTAGTAAATGCAGAGATTCCGTTTGAATGGCAACCCTGCTGAGCCAAAGGCCTCAGAAAGATAACAGGGTAATGAGTGCCCTCTAGTGGTATATCAAAGCTTTTGACTTGTAAACAGAACAGAGAGAGAATGTCGCTTTCCTCATTTTGCTTCTTAATCTGTACTCTGAGGACGAAGGGGAAAACGTTGAAGCTTAGAAATAGATTTCATAACATTATAAGGCTCCTTTTTCCTGTGCCTGAAACTTGTTTATTTGATACTTAAAAGTATTAAGCAATTCAATTCTCCTCACGTAATAATAATAGACGTTATATGTCTATTACTTTCTTATCCTAAAGCTGTCACAAGTATATACTCAGTTTTTTTAAAAAGAAATAAAATTTTTACCCTGGGGATGTAACATGAAGAATAATTTGCAATTTAGATTTTGTTTATATTGATTACAGGTCAGCACAATCACCAAGAAGACATATCTAAGTAGTTTCTAACTCCTGATATTTCCAAAATGATTACGCATTTTATTAATCAAGGTCACAGTCACCTCATTTTACTAGTGTCAGTGAAAACCTGTCAATGAAAACCTGATGTTATCTGTTAATTAAGAATCTCCATGGCGACCAGGCACGGTGGCTCATGCCTGTAATCCCAGCACTTTGGAGGGCCGAGGCGGGCGGATCACCTGAGGTCAGGAGTTCACAACCAGCTTGCAAACATGGTGAAACCCCCTCTCTACTAAAAATACAAAAAAATTAGCTGGGTGTGGTGGCGGGTGCCTGTAACCTCAGCTACTCAGGAGGTTGAGGCAGGAGAACTGCTTGAACCCGGTGGGCGGAGGTTGCAGTGAGCCGAGATTGCGCCCTTGCACTCTAGCCTGGGGCAACAAGAGCGAAAGAAACTCCGTCTCAAAAAAAAAAAAAAAGAATCACCATGGCAATGAAAATGAATATCTTAAATGCTGCTGCTGCAGCTACCACTGCTGCCACTACAATTTATGTGTGAGTTCCAAGTGCCCTCTACTGGGCAAAATACAGTGGGTGAATAAACTCTCTGGGTTCTAATCTGGATCAGCCCTCTCCGGTTGGAGTTCCTAATCAAGCTGAAATTTCATTTAAAAAATGTAAAAGCTCAACCTATATAAAGACCATAGGATCAAACCTATACTAAAATCTTGGAAGGAAAAAATCATTAAAGCTTTATTGTATATGTATGAATAGTTTTCGGATACCATGCTTTTCCTTATTACTCAAATCTCATTTCAAATGCGATTGCCTCCATGAGAAATTAGAAGCTATTAGAAAACAAATCATGGACAATATTTTAAAACCTGACTTTTCTTCCCGGCACTTAGATAAATTTCTTTTTCTTTTTCCTTTTCTTTTTTAAACGTAACAGGCCTGGAATCCAACTTGTGCCGGTTTTTCACGCCCTGGGGAGATACAGAAAGTCTGCTGAAGTGCTCACTAAGCTCCCAAAAAGGCAATGCCTCCACTGCGTAGTTGAAAACGTTAACATTTGCAATTATCAGCTCAACTTTTAGGATTGAGTAAAGTGATCTAGTCTTGGAGAGAAAGGGTAAGAGGGCTACTTTTTGGCTTCCAGGAGTTACACAGTACTCTGGTAATGGCAGGAGATATTATTAATCCTCTCGGTCAAACTTCCTTCTGTATGCCTGGGATCATGCCCTTGTGAAGCCCAATCCACATTGTTGGGTTTTGTTTCCCTCCTCCTATGATCTAAGTTATTAAAGCCCTAAATTCATTCCCTGGAGTTCTGTGGGGGGAAAAACAGTCCGTTTTTATAAAATGAAGGAGAAACATAATCTATATTCCCTGAACTCAGGAGCAAAGCATCTTTTGTCTAAAAACCCTTTTCTTTCAAGAATTGTATGTATTACCAGAGCATGAGATCATAGCCCAGCTCCTAGTGAGTCAAAAGAAATATATCTACACAAATGGAAATTCAAATAAACTACTTCCAACAGGGTTTAAACTATTTGTTTAGCTTCTAAAATATTAACAAAATATTCTGAAATATTATGACTTTTTTACGTGTTGCTTTTCTATAATAAAAGTGTTATGGGCTGAATCATGTTCCCTCAAAATTCATATGTTGAAGTCCTAATCCTCAGTACCTCAGAATGTGATCCTATCTTTACAAAGATCCTAAAGTTGAAATAAGGTAATTAGGGTGGGACCTTATCCCATATGACTGGTATCCTTCAGAGAAGAGATTTGGATACACACACACACTCAGAGGGAGGACCACAGGAAAACACATGAAGATAACCACCTACATGCCAAGAAAAGAGGTCTCAGAAGAAACCGACCGAGCTAACTCCTTGATCTCAGACTTCTAGCTTCCAGCATTGTGAGAATATACATTTCTGTTATTTAAACCACCTAATCTGTAGTACTTTGTATGGCATCTCTAATAAACTAATACAAAAAGTGAGTTTGGCATTACTTCCATAGCTCTACACTGTCAAGATAACTATGTCAGCATTTCTGTCAGCCTTTGCCTCAAGATTTTTGCCTCCAGGTGGATATCCAGCAAATATAGCTCCAGGTATCATGTCTAAACTCAAGAAAGAAAGAGGGGAGAAAATACCCTTCTTTTTATCAAAAACTAATTATTTTTAATGGATCCTTTTTGTTGCAAGTACTTGAAAACTCAAAAGACTCAAACTCAGAATTTATTAGCTCAAGAATTAGAAAATCCAGGGGTTGAGGGGTTGCACCAACATTAGGCATGGCTGGAATCAGAGATCACATACATTATCTGGATTGAGATTTCCCCTATCTTTTTATTTTTCTGTCTTCGTATTGCTTTACTTTTCTGCTCATGCTTATCACTAGAAATTCCAGGCTTTTTCCTCATGGCAACATGATGGCTGCTGTAGCTTTAGCAACACAGTCTTTCAAGACCCAGTCTAGCAAAAATGAATTCCTGTCTCCCAGAATCCCTACGTACAAACACACATATGATGCTTCTTTCTTGGGCACACCCTCATGGTGTAATTATGTAAAATGCCTCTTCATACTCTTTTATCTTAGCCTAAGCACTAGGAAGTCTATATTTACTTAATAATGTTGATAATCATCAACATTGTAAAGAGTAAAGGGCTACTCTTTATTAAGCACTTTATGCCAAGCATGGTTCAGTATCTCCTTGAATCATCACACAGTCTAATGTAACGAGAACAATTATCCCACTTCCAAAATATTATTGAATATTTTCTAAAACTTTTAAAGAAGTAACTAGTCATGAATAGGTCAAATAATTTGCCACATATAACTAAGATAGAAAATAGAGCCAGGAATTAAATATACTTTTGTCAGTGTCTAAAATCTTCAAACTCTTAACTACGATCTGAATCCACTTGATTCCATATTATTTTTCAGAAAGCATGAAGCTTCTAGCTCTTTATCTCCATTTCAAGAACTTCCCCTGCAATCACTTCTACCCAGTCAACCAATTCCCACTTACTCAGACTATGCCTATTATCAATTCTTCCAATTCATGAAAGGTTAATTTTTAACAAATAAATGCTCCCTTCTTCCCCAACCACTCTAATTTTAGGAAAGAAAGATTTCCACTTATCCTAGTAATGAGAAGCATTTGAATTCTCTATAGTCACTCAACCCCTGCCCCTTTACAAACTAATCCATCTTTTTAAAATTTCTCTGAAATTTTTATTATGCAGTTTTACTCTCTTTGAAGCATATTTAGAAGTCAGTCCTTGAAAAACACTGGCATGCAAAACACTTGAAAATAAATAGACAGCAATTATGCCAATAGATAAGGATAAAAGTGAGGGTCCCATTTTACATTGCATTCTTTTCACCAAAGATCTCTTTTCAGTGCAGAGGTCAGATGAATTCAATAGTATCTCTCTGCTGAAATCAGAAACTAGCTGGCACCATCAGCACCAAGTAGAGCATGGAGCTGAGTGCACTTACGAAGCAAGTTGAAAGATATGGACCCTGTCTCTTTAGAGATGACAAATCAAGAGGATACACAATCTTATTTGATGGGGGCTTTACTCAAGGCCACAACAGCTAGGAGATACAATTTGGAACTAAAATGATGTTAAAATATAATTTAGCTTCATCTGAAGGTTTGAAGGAGTCCATCTGTACCCCAACTACCCCCTCAAGAAGAGGTGCCCTTTCTCTAAGATTCCTAATAACTCTGTCACCCTAATATTATGTGCACTCCATTGTATCATAATTTTCATTTATGTAAGTGTAACTCCTACTAGATTGAGTGGTCCATGAGGACAGTGGCTACATTGTATTTCTTGTTATATGTGGCTAGCCTGTGGCTGGAGAGTAACCATCATACAGAGGATCTGTGTTAATCAGGATAGGCTAGGCCTTTTTGTTGTAACAATAAAACTTGTAGGCTAAACACAAAAAGTAGTTTATTTCTGACTCAGGTTACACGTCCCCTGTGGATGAGCAAGAGGCTCTGTTCCACATAGTCACTCAGGATCTCAGGCTGACTGAGACTCCACAGTTAGCAGCTTTACCATCTGGAATACGCAGCATTTTTATTGCTGCAGCCAGAAAACAGAAAAGCACATGGGTTTTTCTATACTTCAGGCTGGAAATGACACATGTCACTTCCAGAAAGTACTGCCGTTTAACCTGAGCCCCACGCCTCAGGGGGATCTGGAATTTGGAGGGCCGTACCAGTGCCTGGGACTTAGCTAGGCCTGGCAGCATAACCCAGGAAGAGCACCCCAAGCCAAGACCAGGACCTACATGAGCTCTCACCCCCATTTTTCCCCTTTAATATGCACTCTGATCCTCTATCCCATACATAGAGTTAACCATCCCAGAGTTCTAGGAAGCTCTGGGACTGGCACCTACAGGGTCATCCTGGCACCACATGTCTGACTTTGGTTCTGGGGCTTGGGGGGATAGCCTAAAGGAAATTACTCCCAACAAGCAGTGTGATATTTCTTTTATGGAATTACACAAGACTGACTGTCAGAATGGTAACAACATGCTATTTTGGGTGATTCTCACTCACGTTGGACCCAAGACAAGTTCTGTGTTCTGAGTTACCATCTGTCCCCCACCATCTCTTGGGTTTGAGCCCTGTGTCTACCCCTGTGTCAGCTCTCACCCATCTGTGTTCAATTTACAACATCTCCAGTCTACAGCACCCAAGGGTAACAGAAGGCATTTTTTATTCTGTGTACCTCCTACTGCTGGCATGCAGTGCAGTAACGTCACCCTTGCATCACATGAGAGAGAAAGTCTTGAAGAAAGGTGGAGATTGCCGTTCTCCTTCAATGGATTTTTAGATCATTGCTGGTCAAATAGGGTCTTCCAATTGATGTCTTCTCTTGTTTCCAATTGTGCTGATATCATATTCTACCAGGTCTGTCTTAAGCCATGTCAGATTAGGAACTAAACACTCCTTATGTGAAGGGCACTGCACTTCTCACTCTACCTTTCCTGCCAGTGTCGGTGTGTGGAATTCAGGGATATAGTCAACAATGAAAGCAATAGTATTCTAAGAATGAAGTGATTATAGCCTAAGGAGTTTAAGAGAAACATGTTTGGAAGATGTGCTATAATTCATTTACACTACAAAATTTTGAACAGTACATTTAACATAACCAAAAATGCATTATCATTCACACTTTCCTTCATACACTGGGTTAGACTTGCATGTGTGATTATCATCAAACAAGCACAGTAACAACTTTTGAGAGAATCATTCAAAGCCAGTATTCAGGGTTGGTGGGATGGATAATGCAGTGTCAGGAGTGATGCTGTAACCAGCATCGAGCCCGCGAAATTAGAAAACTGAAAAGGCATGAAGATCTACGTTGTTCCAATACAAACAGCTTCCAATGGACCATGGCATTGTGAGTAATAATATTATTACCTTTTTCTCCCCAGTAGGAAATATGAAATTAGCCAAAAGTGGTGCATTTGCTCATAAAGAAGGCAAAAGATAGTTCCCCAACATGAATCCAAAGAGATGGTGCCTGGACACTACAAAAAAATCTTCACTTGCTCTGACTTGACCAGCAATCAAGTACCTAAGTACCTCTTCTCTAATTGCTATTCTAAATATTCACTGATAAATAACTGTAACTTACATGAGCCCATGAATTGTATACACATTTTTAGATCAAATTGTTTATATAGAGCAAAATAAGCCCAGGGCCTCCCACACTTTGGGATGGCTCTGCTTCCTTTCACACTGGCCAGAACTAATCTCATGGCACTACCCAGTTTCAAGGTGGCTAATAAGTCTATTCTTCTAAGTGCTCAGAAGGAGAAGGAACCACATTTTAGCAACTATAAGTTGCTCTCTGGGTTGCGGTTCCCTCCGCTTATCCCACAACTGTCTCCAAAGCCTTGTGAAATGGCTTTAAATCCTTGCCTTAGTTTTGCTATAAAGAACTAAGGATTTCTCTCTCTCTCTCTCTCTCTCTCTCTCTTCCTTCACCTCCCCCATACCACAGTCTATCATAGTGATAAGAGCATAAATATGGCATTAGGGAGAGACCCCAAGACTGCAAGAAACAATTAGTAGAAACATGAGTTATAGCCTTAGACAGCCTAGAGATCAGCCTTTCAAAGCCAGGCAACCTAGGAGACAAAGGAATGATAGAACTGATAGAGAAACTTCTAGAGAATTTCCGACAAACACTAGAGGGGAGAAAAGAACCTCTAAGAGGGCTCTGAGGTCCTGATAATCTGAGAAGCAGGACCAGAAACAATTATAAATTGGGGTACACCTGCAACAAAGTATCTGAAATTTGTTTTTGAATGCCTATCTCCTCTCCAGAAGCCTGCTCTGTGGCTTAGTTCCTCAAAGCTGGATGTGACAGTTAGACTCCTGTATAAGGTCATTCTTGCATTACTATGAAGAAATACCTGAGACTGGGTAATTTATAAGAAAAGAGGTTTAATTGGCTCATGGCTCTGCAGGCTGTACAGGCAGCATAATGCAGCATCTGCTTCTGTGGAGGCCTAATGAAGCTTACGATCATGGTGGAAGATGAAGAGAGAGCAGCCCTCACATGGCGAAAGCAGGAGCAAGAGAGAGAGTGGGGTGGGGTTGGGGAGGTGCCACACTTTACAACAACCAAATATCACGAGAACAAATTCACTATTACGGGGACAGCACCAAGCCATGATGGATTGGTTCCCGTGACCCAAACATCTCCCACCAGGTCCCACCTCCAACATTTGGGATTACGTTTCACCATGAGGTTTGGGTGGGGACAAATATCCAAACTATGTCATTCTGCCCTGGGACCCCACAAATCTCACATTCTTCTCAGGTTGCAAAATACAATTATACCTCCCCAACAGCCCCCTAAATGTCTCAACTTGTTTCAGCATCAACCAAAAGTCCCAAGTCCAAAGTCTCATCTGAAAATGAGTTCCTTCCACCTATGAACCTGTAAAATCAAATCA